GCAATAGAGAAATCTGACATAAAATCTCTAGACATCTTAACACAATTCGTATCAATTTAGATTCTGTACATTGGATATACAATTGAAAACAATCAATAAAGACTCAATTTAAGGTTTCAAATAAAGTATACATACGTATGTATGTAAGTATAAAATTTTAAAATATGTCGGGCTTTATGCCTATGATTATTATTGTGCATTATATAAAAATTTTGGATAAACTGTCGGATTGACAGATCAATCTGAATTTCAGATTCATTTCAGTTTATTTCGGTTCAATCCTGGATTAACCATCAGATTGGCCCCGGTTTGTTTCTGAATCAATCTAAATTTTGGATTCAGATCAGATTCAGATCAATCCTAGATTAACCAGAATTTTTAATCTGATTTGGAACACTATCTGATACTCTCTTCGCTATTAATTGTTATCGATTTAAATACAGCAACAAGTAATTACCAAATTTTCGCTATCTAGTACATTTCTAAGTTATATTGATACAAAGTTGCATTTTGATGTATCCTATTTATCAAAATCAAAAAGGTAACTTTGAACTTTTTGCAGGTTTGACTGAAAGACCTTTAAGTAAATTTTGTTTTTTTGTTTTATATTTGCATTTTAAGTTTTTGGATTTGAATTATATTCTTAGTCTTTCGGACTATAACTTATATCATACTTTTTCAGATTCTGGCAGTTTGTGGATTATCTTTAATTATTTGATCTTTTATTTTATTTTGAAATAATAAAAGGCATTTGGTAGGTATTTAATAGAATTAAATATCAATGCTGGAATACATATATTTAGTTTTGGGAGTTTTTTGATTGTTTTTTTCAATTTTTTTTATAGCATCTTCACGAATAAGGGGAGTGCCAAAAATCAGCTAATTTTTTAGGAAGGGAGGGGAGTAAAAAAAATTATCAGATATATAGTTTTAGCCAATTAAAATTTTTTATTTAAAATCAGGTAGAAAGAGGGTAGCCTCTTAATAAAAAAATATCAGCTGATAAATGGCCCTTTCCTAAGAATTGAAAAGTAGCCTTGTAGAATAAAAGCAAATATTTCATTATTATGTTCAATATTTTGAAAAACAGCAGATTTTTCAATCGAAATAAAATGATTAGAATTCATTTATTTTTTCTTAAAAAAAGTTTATAATATTAATAGCTTCTAATATATCAATGATTTAATAAATTTATTTACAAAAATGAAAAATAAAAACCTATATAAATAAAAATTATAATTTAAAATAGAGTTTTAAAATTTATTGCAGATGCAATATATTGCATCCCTTCTATTATTTCAAAATTTTTACTATGAAACCACCTTTGTGGCTCTAATAAAAAAATTTTCTGTAAAATTTTGATATAACCTATACTTTTGCCTTATCCCAAATCCTAACCCTAATCCTAACATTAATCAAAATTTATTTTTTATTTTGATAAAAATTTTTTGTTATACAAAATCAATAATCTTCATATAGTTAAAATAGAGTGCAATATATTGCATCTGCAATAAATTATTAATTCCTTTAAAATATATGCAAGTTAAAATAAAAGAAATATATAATAAAAGTACGATGATTCTAAATTTATTAGAGCTTTCATTCTGTTCTATAATTTCAATTTGTTGAATTAACTCTTTATTACATTGAGTTGATTCGATTTGTTTATTCTTAACAAATTGAATTAAATCTAAATTCAAATTGAGTTCGTTTGTAAGAATAAGAATGAATTCAGATAATTCTACTCTATCTATTGATTTTTGAGTAAAATTATTTTTTGATGGAGCTACTAAGATACTAATAGTTTCTATTTTACCAAATCTAGACAATACCCTTCAATTTCACACATCATCTTAGGCATAATTTTATTACAATCTTTATCATTATAAAATAAAAAATATTTAATATTATAAATAAATTTAAAATTGATTAAATTAGATTATATACCTTTAGAATATCTAATACAAATCTAATTACGAACATGGTGCAGGTGGTATAGCAATGATCATTAATCAATTTTTGCAATAGTGAAATTAAAAAATATATAATAAATATATTTTATTGATTAGTTCAAGATACAAATTAACTATCACTAATTATAAAAAAAAACTGATTAATGATTATTACTATATCACTTTCTAGACTTATATTAGATGCTCAAATATATCTTGCATTGAATGATTATTATATATTCTCTTTAGTCTCCTATCTAATCAATACTTCTGTCACCTAGTGCATATCTATTAAAGTAAAAAAAATTGAGTATTTATATTCATTATTGTTAAGAGTCAAGAAGAATATTCATAATCATATTTAAACAAATGATTACAGCTATGAAGAGCTTTCAATTCTCGATTCATATATTCTATTTACCATAGCTCTAGAGCAACTCCATAAATAACTTTTCAATAATATGAGAAGAACATTCATAACCATATTGACCACATAATTATAGCCATGATAAGCTTTCATTCCCATGATTTACATCTAGTAACAGCGCAACTTCAGATATATAACAACTAAATAATAACTTAGTGAATACTCACTCAAGTCAATGTAATTCTATATTCATTTTTATAAAAATATTTCTAATCTTATCTTCAAACCCTTTGCTATTCTTGCGCAGTAACTTCTTTCTAACTCTTTCTTCAACATATATATATTCAAATTCTGTCTCACCTTCTTGAATAACAATACCAAAATTAGTGAGAGACATTTTTTTAAATTAAAAAATTACCAAAATAATACTTATACTTAATATCATTTATCTCTTTTTTCTTTGTATTATTTTGCTAAAAACAAGTCTTAAGCATAAATAATAGCTAAAAAAAGTTGTAGATCAATATAAAATTAAAAATCAAAGAAATTACACAATATAATCTATGTTATATGACAAATTTATACCTAAATTCTGGTCACATAATATTGTTGATCATTTCATATTATAACATTTTTCATTAATATTAAGGTTAGAGTCATCTTGGTTTAAAAAACATACCAGTTCTTATTTACATATAAATCATTTTTTGCTTTTATTGATTCAATAGCCTATCAAATAAGCATTTGAACCAATAAAGGCAAAAGTAATTTACATACAAATAAGTACTGATATATTGGTTTAAATTTGTCTGAATTAGCCTGATTGGATACTTAAGGACTTGAAATATATAAATTAACCAAAGATAAGAAAATTAATTATCAGTTATTGTATTTAATTTAAGATATGTCAGAATGGTATATATATTATGCTTAATGAAATTATCAATAGTAATTTTATTAGCAGGTAATCATCATTAGATAATATGATATAGTAATTGACTACGTAATGAAAAATTACCAAGTAAAAAAATGATAAAAAAGTAAAAATCTGCAGATTAAATTTTTTTCACTCTTTTGTAAAATATTTTTTCTTTAATTTTGTTACTAAATATGTCCAAATATTCTATTAAAAGATTATTTATCATTATATTACTGTATAATCATTATCATAAAATAAATATTAATATTAATATAAATCATATTTTAAAGACAACAATGATTAATTTTTCATAGTAAAGAAGTTTTAGAGGATTTACTAGTAAATTACGTATTTCAAAAGAAAATAATAAACCAGAGGTTAGGTAAATTATTTTAATTTATACATTTTTTTGATAATATATATAATATTCATTAGTTTTTTTACTTAGAATATGCAAATCAAGATTCTGTTAAAATTAATCAAAATAAGGAGGATAATATTAATATTTACATTAGAGAAAAAATAAAAACTGTTTTTGTATGATATATGAAAAATCTGTTCAATTTTTATAATATTCTGTAATAAATTGTGTAGAAATTAGTTAATAAAAATTGAGATTCTGCAGTTGAAATAAAAGAAATAAATAAATAGCTAAAACAAAAAATATTTGATGAAAAAAGAAAATACTTTAAAATGATTTTCTATATACTTTTAATCCATTATGATTTTAAAAATAAATTTAACAATATTAAAAGTAGAAATAATAATAGTAATCAAGTATTTATTTTAATAGATTACTTTTTTTATATTAATATAAAAAAAAATTTGATGATATTATTAAAAATAATTTGGCAAAATTGTCAAAATAAAAAATTTGATATTTATTCGCATATCTGATAAACATTTGTAAATTTAGTAGAATTATTTTGTAATATTAGTAATTTTGGTCAAATTATATAGTTTTAGTAGAATTAATTCGTAACTCTAGTAAGAATAATTTAGATAGAATTAATTCGTAACTCTAGTAAACTTAATTTGAGTAGAATTAATTTGTAACTCTGGTAAGTATAATTTTGGTAAAATTTTATATAACTCTGATAAGCATTATCTTGATAAAATTAGTTAGTAAAACATAATATTGTAAATTTAGTAGAATTAATTTGTAATTCTAGTAAATATAATTTTGGTAGAATTAATTAGTAATTTTGTTTAGTAGAATTGATATATAACTAGAGTTGTGTTTTATAAATTACAACTTTATATTACATAAGGGAGGCATGTCTAATTTGGCGCAGTGCCTAATTTGACACACAATGATATCTCAAAAACTATCAAACAGAATCGCATGATTCTTATACCATTCGATTCATCTCATCGAGATGAATCGAACAGTACCAAAATCATGCGATTCTGATTGATAGTTCTCGAGATACTCTATTTAACCAAAATAGCCCAAGGTAAATATACCCAATCTGATGCAAGTAAACGTTTATAGTAAATATTATATGATGTATCGATCAGAATCGCAAGATTTTGGTACTATTCAATTCGTCTCATCGAGACGAATTGAATGGTACCAAACTCTTGCGATTCTGATCGATACATCACATAATATTTATCGTAAACGTTATACCTGCATCAAATTAGGCATTACATCAA